AAATATTTAATGGTTCAGAGGCTGAAGGGGAAAAAATAAATTAATAAATGGAGATGGTCTTTCTTCTATAATACAGCAAAAGAAACAGGTTCTCCTTTGCAAGGAAACAGTTAGAGAAAGCAAGCTACAAAAATATATGGAATAAGCTCACCGAGTCCATTCCTTTGGAGAGTCATTTCCCCACAGTGCCCAGGCGCAAGAACAAATGACTTGTAAAATCAGTGAGATCCTAAGGAAATGTTAGTGGGTGACTGGTAAGTAGGTTGCAAGAACACAGTTACAAAGTCAATCTCAGACATACATAATGGTCAAACTTCCTGTGTTTACACATGGCAAAATGCTGTGTTGTAACCGCTGTATGCATCCTATTCTATGCACAGGGAAATATACCTATTTTAAACCAAAAGGGGAAACAAAAGTTATACCACTTACCTCCATGCAACTTGGAGTTAATAGCAGTTCACCCTTTCTATACTAAAAAGGATGGAGGAACTTTCAGACCAAAGGTCTTCTCCACCAGCAGTTCATACCAATTGTTAGACTACACTGGCAGAGATTAGGTGGATCTGTCCCTGCATTAAATATAATGGAATTACACACCTGCAACTTACCCTAGTGGCTGACCACATGATTATAATCAGGACAAATCTGCAGTGCAGAAGAGGCCTAAAACTGGGGACTTGACTCTCAAATTTTCAAACAGGGAATAGTCAAGAGGCACCATAAACAAAACGTAGTAGGCAGTCCTTATAAGCCAGGCACCCTTCCTACAGTGAATCAATGCATTGCTATAAAAATTGCAAACCCTCTTTCAGATTGAGCAACAGTAGCTGAATTAATTTGACAAGAAAGCAGACCAATTTCACAGCCCCGCTTAAGCAATACATGAAAAATTGTAACTTAAAAAAATAAGGAAACTAAGCAGGGGTTTACCCAGGGCAACCATTCTGGTTTAATTTAGCTACTTTGGAGTAACCCTCGGACACATAACACATCATTAAAAGCGATAAAACTTTACTTGTTTTGTGAGCTGTTTTGTGGGTAATTATCCTCAGTCACTTTTATAAGAAACTTGTTCCAGTGGTGGCTTCCAGGGTTATTTCCAAACTATTACAGAAAAGCTTATTCAGCAATTATTACGCCAGCCAGTTTTACTGTGTAGACAAGTTTCCTAAATAAAATTCCTTTGCCTTCTAAATGATTTCCAGATGCTATTGACACTGGCATTTACCCTCTCTCCCTTTGCTAAAATGCCAGTGAGCGCATCTACACATGAAGCTACATCGCCATAGCAATGCACTGCAGCGATGTAGCATCCACGGGCGAGAACTGTGACACTGCAGCTATGTCACCATAGCAACACGCTACCTCATTATAGCATGTCATTATGGTGATATCGTGCCTAAAAATAACCATGTATGGCGTGGCATGCACGGCGCAGTATAGACTGTTACTGCATTGTCTTTTAATACTTCCAAAAGGAAGCACTAAATAACAGCACAGTAACAACACCGCCATAAGCAACATGTGTAAATGCAATCATTGAGGAGCACGTTGCTATCTATTACTTCCCCTCACTCTACACAGAAGTTAAAAAAAATAACCTGAAAAAGGTGGGTGGGGGTGGAATTTAGACATAAAAAGTAGTAAATGGAAGAATAAAGATATTTTCATTAGAAATGCAGATCTTGTATACTCTTCTTTATCTAGAAGACCTTTCTGGCTAGATGGTTATCACTGAGGAAGCGACTTTTATTCAGCACTTTAAAAATGTTTTAAGCTGTTTTTGCACGTATCAGTGGGAAGGAAGGTTCTTTGTTAAAGAACAAACACTTGTTCCCTGTTCAATTATGGACCAAACAAAAACATAAAAAAAAAAAAATCTTAGTCCACAGTGCTGCATTTTCCAAAAGATACAGGAAGATGATTTTACATTCTTAGATATTTTCAAGGTTAAGTACCCCCTCAACCAAAGAACACCAAATTGGGGGGTGTGGAATCTCAAACTTTCAAGTGCTCTTTCCATATCACAAAGCTAAGAAAGGCAAGCCCTGTTTTTCTTTTCATCACCATTTTATTTTTACAGGAATAGCCGAACACCTCTTCCAAGGGAGGAAGGGTGTTGGTTTGCTTCTGTGTCTTGGGCCTTTCCTAAACACTTTAAAATAAGCATTCATAGAGCACTATCAGCAGGAGCATGAATAGCACCACAGGCTGGTAAAATGGCTCTGTTCCCAGAGACTCTGCAGAAGGCAGGTAGACCAGATCCCAAGAGGTGTGAATGTAAATTCACTATTTTAAAGGAAACTATGTTAACGTATACTAAGTAAGAACCTGGTGCCGGGCTCTGTAGGCTGTTTCATATCTAATCCAATATTATGGGGAGACTAGGTCCAATGAGAATCCAATGGGGGAATAAATCTTTCATACTTGCAAAACCTCCCTAGGGTGCAGCTACTGTAGAAACTGAAAATAATGGTCCAGCCCTAAGAAAAGCAATTGGTGGATCATATTACAGAGTGCAAGGACTAAAGCATCTGTGTTTTATTGATTCATGCTTTCCAGACAATGTTTTTGTATTATAAACAATTCTAGATTGCTTATAATCTGTCATTTTAACCACCTTGCTAGTATCAAAGTGAGAATGGGGTTAACACATTAGGGCAAATAAAGTATAAATTTTCTTAAAACAGCAAAGGCCAACCTTTTTTGCAGGCATGCCACAAGCTAAACTGTATGCTCTCCTCGACTGCCACTGATCTGCTGCTCTGCTTTCTCCTCCCTGCCCTACGTTCCATGCCTGATCTGCTGCTCTTTCTGCACAGTCACTGTGCCATCTGCCCCCTCACCAGGCTGCCACACACAGGCTGCCCATGCCACTCCTGGCACTCGTGCCACCGGTTGGCTAGGCCCGATTTAAAACACTCCGTTCTAATACTTTCTCCTAAATCTTAAACCAAAGTGTTAAACCTAGGCATGTCTTATTAAGGGAGACCTGAGGGTTACCAGTGATCTAACCAAAATTTGATTGGGAGCTCAATTGGCCTCATCCTCATTTTCAAGGCACCAGTCAGCTTTCACAAGCATACGGGAATGCGTTTGGAGCTTTTGCCAAGCCTGTCTTCCAGTCACTCGGCTTTGTCAGTACTCTGCAAATGGACTTTGATTTCGCAAGAGCCCGGTGTACTATATTTAGCCTGTCATGCATTCCACTGAAGCAGCACTGTCCCCAGTGCTTGTGTCGTAAAACTGAGCTGCTGAACTCCATGTTATTTACCCTTCTTCAGCAAGCTGCCTGATATTTTGAGATTTTAAAATCCCTCACGTTCATATTTGATTTCTCAGCTGCTCAATTTATTGGTACTTGAAGCAACTTTATACTTAACCTGATAAATCAGCCTGAGGGCTCCCAAAGTCTGCACTGATTTAATTCCTCCAAAGTGTGTTTGCCCAGGAGCTGTAACTATCATATTCAGAGAAAATTAACTTGGGAGACCTGGCTGAATGAAAGGAAGAGCACTGGTGTCCTTTACTTCAAACAAGGTTTATGGAGAGGCATAAGACCAGAGGGGACACCTAGGGTCATCTAGTCCAGTGGTTCTCAACCTTTTTTTGTACCAGGACCCCCATTTGTGAACATCACCTTTAAAGGAGAGTTCATTTCTAAAGTTTGTTCATGACCCTTTGATATATTCTTGCGACCCACTTTTGTGTTGCGACCCATGGGTTGAGAAACGCTGATCTAGTCTGATGACCTGCATAACACAGGATACAGAACCCTATCTAAGAAATCCTGCATCTGGCCTGTAACTTCTGGCTGAGCTATAGCATCTTTGAAAGAACTGCCCAGTCCTGTGTTAAAGTTGAAGTGCTGGAAAATTCATTTACTCCACTGTTGGACTGGCATAATAATACAACAAGAGACTTTGACCCCAAACTCAGGCCCCTCCTAGAGTGCTAAGAAGATGCAGCATGCCCAGCTCACTGCCTCATGTGCTATGACTCCACACGTAGGACTAGTTCATACAGGGAAGCCGATTGAGAGGGCAGGTTATTCCACAATATTCAGGCACTTAATTGTGGGATCCCCTTAGTCTGGAACAAGATTTATAAGATTATTATAATGAACTAGAAAAAATACCCTTATGCCAGAATAAGGGCATCCACAGGGGAAAAAAATTGCATCTTAAGAAGTTTCACCTCTCATCTTATTGCAGAATAGTTTCCCTTCTGGCTTCGCTCTCCTACAAAGGTTCTCTACCAAAGGGAGAGGACAGCACCTAGACTGTACTGTGTGAAAAGATATATATTTATTTATTTTAAAATAATAAAAGGTTCCTCAAACACACACCCTTTTCACTACCTTTACCTATATTTTTAATTAATCTATCAATCAGAGAGAATATTTACAATTATTTCACTGTTTGTTAATGGTTTATTTAAGTCAAGGGAAGTAATACATATTATTTTGGCTAATGCTTTTTTTCAGCGTCTGCACTGCCAGGCAGGCCCCACTCCATCCAAATATGTGCACATCAGACCTGTTGATGCTGGGTCTGACAAATAAATGAGGGAGAATCAAATTTCTCAACTGGAACAGAGATTGATTTAGTCCATCAGAAAAGCATTTTCCATATGAAGGGCTGTCAACTCCCCTGATCCAAACAGAAGGCAAAACAACGAACTTCTATGACATGGCTGGCAGAAAGAACATGACGATGTGCAATCCATGCCTTGCACTGTTGTAGCATCAAGTCTTATTAAAATATACCTAGCTTTTGCAAAGCACTTCATTGGTATCTTTATAAGGGCAGTCAGCTTCATTACCCCTATTTTACAAAGAGCAGCTGAAAGGTGAAGCAACATGCCCATGGTTACCTAGAAGGCCAATGGCAGAATTAGAATTGGAATGAGGGCCACAGCGCTTTGAATAAAAAGCCAGAGCATGCACAGACTTTTGGAAAAAAGGTTAATATTCAAAAAAGAAAAATTTGACTCACCTTAAAAAATGCAAACCACTTATAGTCATTAATTACAACTTCAAACCCTTGATTGTAAATGATCGTGAAGAAGCCAGAGTTGCCCAAGTCATCCTGTGCCACATCCAGCTTCTGAAGACTCACAACCACTTTCTTTTCCACGGGTCCTGCAGAAAAAGGCAGTTGTTACATAGACTCATTAGAGCTTTCTTGTGCGGCCTACAAACCTTACTCTACCATATTTAACCATACACTAACAAAAGATACTGGCAGAGTTAATAGACAGAGCTTGTCACACGAGAAAAAATAGTTTGCCAGACATGGCAAGATCAAAATTTTGCTGGATGAAGTTTGCCTTTTGGAGTAGAAATTAAATGCTAAGGCATTGCAAAGTAACAACGTATTTGAGTTTAGAAAAACAGATGCTGAATCTCTGTTACAGAAATAGGTTTATTTAGCCAGGAGCTGCTACACAAGTTTCCTGAATCCAGCACATAACTATACCAGTGGGATCATCAATTTCCTGCAGCAAAGCATACCTGTTGCCAATTGCTGTCAGAGGTCTGAGCACTTAGCGCTCCAGGGCCTAGCACAGACACTGCAAAAATTGCAGCAGGAAGCATAAGAAACCTGAAGGACTGCACTGGTCTTCATTTCTGCTCTGGACCTCGCTACCACCCACCCCAGCTCCACTGAGTTCAGCTTTTCCATTTACCCAATCAGACTGGTAGCAGAAATTGGCATTTCAAATGGTTTAGGTGGTTGGGGTTTTTTTCCTCCCTTTTCCTGTCACTAATGCTGTCTCAAGGGCAGGTCCCATGTCCTCCCCCAGGAAGTCTGGTTTTCAATCAACTTCAGAAAAAATGATTAGCCTCAATAAAACCACTTCAAACAAAGAACCTGTCCTATCACACCCAGATAAAAACAGATAAAAAGAACAGCACCAAAACAGTAGGTAGGCAGTGGTACTCAGTTTGAGATACACATTCAGGGCAGAGCAATCCTAAGTAAAATAACCCAAGTAATTTTAGGGGCGCTGACAGACATGGAAGAAAAACAACCCCACCCGTAAAAAAACCCAAAACAACCCACACCATGCTTTATACAAAGCAGCACTGTGTTACTTCCACCCAGCTCTGCAGTGTCTGTATAGATCGGACACTTCAGCCAGGCTTTTTAGCACTTTTAGCTAAAGTTGATTCAATCAGCCGGTAGATAAAAGCAGCAAAAAAGCCCCACTAAAGCGCCTGATGAATACAGACATTGGGAAAGCCAGGTGCAACTAAAGTGCTGCCTCTTCTGGGTGTGCGCTGGGCTCAGCGCTGGAGCACACTGAATTTAGAAGTAAAGCATCCTTGGGTATTTTTCCCACTACGTTTGCAAGCAGCCTACTGAATTCCCCACACTCAGCTGGGCAGAAAATAATGGTTGTGGTTTCATTCAGTTTAGGGCCACAGCCATATCTAATATTTAGTGGTTTTTCTTCTACCAATATTGAGTTCTGCAGGCAGTTCTGCTTTCACACAGCCAGGTTTCAAGCAAGCCATTGTTACTGGGTTGCAAGGAGAGGGCTCTGCCCCCATCAGAAAGGAAAGGCAACTTAGCAGCCACTTTCTCACCACAGAAGCCTGCTCTGCTCTGCCTTTTTTGCGTGCCAGGGCAGAGATGTCCAGCTGAAGAGAAGCAGGCGATAACTCTAGGATTTAAAGACACCTTCAAAACTCCTAGAGGTCAGAAGACTGGTTTATGAGGAAGTGAGGTACCGGTCAGCATCACATGGGGAGACTGGAGGGAATTTCCACTTGCAGTCACCGCTCCCCTCCTCACCCGCCTCCACATTTTGGAGAGCATCTCTTCCTAGGAGCTCTCCGTTTAAAGAAGGGGATGGGGGGTGGGAAATAAGTGTGCGGGGAAGTCCTGCCAGTTCACACCCAGCTCCCTGTGGGATACCCTCCTCTGGTCCCAAACTTCTCCTTCACAGAGGCTTCGTCCCAGGAGATCAGCACTAACTCCAACTGGGCAATCCCCAAGGGAGCTGGCCTAAGAGGCACTGGCAAACACAGAATAATTCAGAGAAACAAACAGATCCAGGGCTGGATCCCACCAGGGTCCAGATTTCATCTCTTGGTAGGAGATGACACACATCTCTTGTTTACAGGAGGGGGTGGAAAATAATGTGTGGGGAAATCCTGCCAGCTCCCGGTGGAAAACCCTCCTCTTGCCCCCAAGTGCTCCTTCACGGAGGCTTCCTCCCAGGAGAGGAATCACCACTGACTCCAACTGGGCCATCCTGGAGGGAGTTGGGTGAAAGACATTGGCAAGCACATAATACTTCAGCTGTCCTGAGAGGCACTGACAAACACATGATCATTCAGGGAAAACAGAGACAGGGCCTGATCCCACCAGAGTCCCCAAGGACACCACAAAACTGCTGGGAAGGGGATCAAGGAAAGGAGAGAAGAGGAAAGGAAGGGGCTGAGGCTGCACTGAATCCACCCTGCCCCGAGGGCTCTGCCAGGGGTGTTAGGGAGGACAGGAGGGATGGAGGGCCGGGCCACGAGCAATGGACTCTGCCAGGGGTGTTTGGAGGGATGGAGGGCCGGGCCAGGAGGAGTAGGCTGTGCCAGGGGTGTTAGGGACAGAGGGAGGGCAGCGCCAGGAGCAGTGGACTCTGCCAGGAGTGTTTGGAGAATGGGGGGAAGGACGGAGGGCCAGGCCAACAGCAGTGAACTCTGACAGGGGTGTTAGAGAGGGTGAGAGGGATGGAGGGTGGTGCCAGGAGCACCGGGCTCTACCAGGGGTGTTACTGATAGAGGAAGGGATGGAGGGAAGGCTGGGCCAGAAGCAATGGGCTCTACTAGGGGTGTGAGGGATGGAGGGAGGGATGGAGGGTGATGCCAGGAGCAATGAGCTCTACCAGGGGTGTAGGGGATGGATGG